AATCTTGATAGCGGTTACATAAATTACTACATAGATGGATGTGTGAAGGCTGACATGAGACTGTTCAGGTATGCATTACATCCCTACTGAAGTCCCTGCTTTTCAATATGCCAAGCCTTTTATACCCAAAGTGCTTTGGGGACTGGTCTCTCTCCTTAAAGCTCAGGTTTTGGGTCACTCAGTGAAGTGCTGATACATTTTGCAAGCAGAATTGGGATGCTCTGAGGTTGGGAAAGCAGGATGTATAGTTTCAGAATTTTTCTTTGAACTACCCAAATTGTATCTTTATTAGAGTGGTACTTACATGTGTATATATACAATTGCCAAACTCACTAAACTTTACACTGAACCATGGTGCATTTCGTTATAATTTTACCTCTATTTAATTATACCTCAATAAAATTGATTAAAATAGTCATGCTCCAATTAGATTATTAAAAGTACTAATTGGCATTTAAAATAAAAAACAAAGAAAAATACCTTCAGTGTTTCCGGTTTGCCTATAAGATTAAATTCACACTGCAAAAGATGTTTAGAGCTCTGTGGTCCCAAGCTACCTACAGCAAAGGTTTTTAACCTGTTCGGTGTCATGCACCCTTTCAGTGGTCTGGTAAAAACTATGGGAATCCTTCTCAGAGGCACGTTATAAGTGCACAAAATAAAGCACATAGTAGCACAAAGGAAGCCTATTATACAGAAATTGTATCAAAATACATATAAAATTGGTGATATAGTAGTACATTTACTTCTTTATTAACTCATTACTCAAGAAGAGCTAAGTCACATAACTTAACTGTAATTTCAAAGCAGTGATAAGCACAAAAGGTGGTTTAAGACATCTGCAACAACTGAGACCTGAAATGAAATAATCTATGAGTTCCTTTGTCATCTTATTGGTGACATGCTGCTACTACTATTGTGATTCTTTTACCCACATTTCAAATGGAAGGAAATGCTAAATTCCTAAGTTAGAGGCTACTGAAAATAAAGGTACATTTTCCCCCAAAAAATTTAGCTTCCCAGTGCACACACCCTCTCTTACCTCTTTCTTGCCTTAATTCCAGGTTAAGCATCCCTCCTGCCTGTCCCCTAGTCCAATAAGCCCCAAGACACTCTCTGCTTTGCGCAAGGGGTCACCCATCCCAAAACCCACAGAGAAGCAGGTAACATGAATATGTGAAAGAGTGGGTAAGTCAGACAGTGGAGAACAGTGACTGGGACTGAGCCCATGTCTCCCTCAGGGCATTCAAATACAGCAATTTCTTGAAAAAAAAACAACACACATAATGATGTACTAGCTAAATGAAGATCAGCCCAGAGCTGGGCAGTGTGCAGCGCCTGTTTAATCACCCAGAATGAACTGGCAGTTGTCTTCCTCCTGCACTCCCCCACCGAAGGGCCGAGAGCTCTGCTTACGTACAGTCCTTCTCTAATCTCCATTAATCAAAATAGAGCTAGTTCAGAGGCTGGCATTTCCTGCTTCCCTTAGCAGGAGGTCATCTGCCCCTCTCTGTGCTCCCAGAACACTTGGCTCATATCTTTCTCTCTCTCACACTCTTTTTTTAAGCACAGGGCACATTTTTCCTGTATTGTGTGTATTGATGTATGTGCTTCACCTTCTCTAATCCATGGGGAGCCCCACTGAGGGCGGGATGCCCCCAAAGTTCCTGCTCTCTGGTGTACACTCTACCAAGCGGCACAGCAGTCGGACTGGCTGTGCTGGACCAGCCTCTGACTCCCCACCTCTCAGCCTCCTGTCTGTGTCTCTTTTACAGATGGGTTTGAATTCTTCAGCCACTAGAAATAAAGCCCTAACATATTTGTTTTTTCGCGGGAGAGCTTACAATGTAACTACAAACCTCCGACCCAGAAAAGGACTTAATGTCATTTAAAGTCCTCCTTCAGGAATGGATATTCATTCAACCGTTCATTCATGTTACCTTTCATTCTCCTCCAGTTGGGACAGCAGCATGTACACACCAGGATGCATGTTTGTGAAACTGTTTCTTACTCGCCTAGAGACAAGGAGATAAATGCCTCTTGTTGGAGGGCACTCACTCCTCTTCATACGGGGCAGATTTGCCCAGTAGCATTTTGTTACTATGGTGGGTCTGCAGTGCCCATGGCCCTATTGGATCCCCATAGCTGTGGACTCCACGACGTTACACTTAAAAGTCATGGAAAACAATAAATTCTCGGTTGTATCCCAGCTTTTTAAGTTCTTTGCTGTGGGATCTTGAGCAAATTACTAAAGATGTCTGAGCCTGTTTTGTCATCTATAAGCTAAGGGTGGTAATAGCATCTACTGCACCATGGCTGTTTGATGGTTCACGGAGTTGATACAGGTAGAGCCCTTAGAGCAGTACTTGGCCCATGGTAAGTGCTCTGTGAATGTCATGAGTTTAGCTAAAACTGAGCACCTCCCAAATCTCTATTTCTTAGTAAGCACCTGATCTGGGGTATAAGGCTGAATAAAAAGTGGCTTTTTCCTCAGGGAGCTCATAACATAATATTTTTCAATCTTTAGACTGGATATTCCTTGGGAATCATTTTCCTGAGAATATCTGTTCATCAGACTGAATAAATAATCTGCTTCAGACATATATGCTTTATTTTTAAAAATGTATGTAGTTACTTTGGAATTAATACACTTCAAAATCATTTATAAGGACTCCTCATCTCATTATATTTTGTCATTACATATCATCTGAACCAATGTTTCTGGAACAAATGCGATCATGAGGTGGTGCCCAAGATTTTTTGGAGGATATTGAAGAACAGCTTCTTATGCCCAAATTGGCTGGATCTGCAGATTGGGTGGACAGTACAGTCTGATAGAAACCCAAATAGTCGTGTCTGCTTAGGCAAAAGAAATTCTGCCCCTGGAGAGTGGCTGTCAATACCAAGATAAGGCAGGGTGGAGACAGACTCTCAGGGAATAGTCAATCAAAAGTTTCTAGGTGCTTCCCAAAAGTTGCGTACCCTTCTCCGCGAAAAAAAAAAAAAGAAGTAGAGAGAAACTCCCAAATTGACCCCACAGAAAAGGCTTCTGTTCAAGAGCAAACTCTACCACTGTTTCTCTTATCCAGCCAAAGAGGGAGAAGGTCTCTGAGATTGACAAGATCAGAGGGGACAACCTGTGGCTCTGAATGCTGGACTCCTGGGAGTGTGGCTACTAATGGGGGTCCCCCAGTTGAGATGGAGGTTGCAGAGAAGCATTTGACTCCCTTCTCCCTGCCATTGTTCTGATACTACAGAATCTATGGGAATCGTTCATCCTCAAGTGGTCAGGACTAACGGGCAGGTGTAAGTTCTTGAAGCAGCTCTTTTTAGAATAGGTGGCAGTACATGGCTACGGAGGGGGGAAGAGAAAGGGAGGACCTGAGTGAGCGGGTCCTGGTCCCTGTTGTGGTTTGAATTTTCTCCCTTGGCAGGCCTCCTAGGTAAAGTCTTTAAAAGACAGCAGTGACCTTTCTGGCAAAATTACTGGGGACTACTGCCAATACTAAGAAGCTCATACCAGCAGAGATTGGATGCGAGAGAAACTCCTACCTTTTTCTTTAAAATCCCATGCCTTAAAATAGTTGTGGTGCAATGTTCCTTTAGAGCAGAGATCAGTAATATTTACTTTCTGGTCCAGAACAGATCAGTACACTCCCCTGCAGAAGGGTCCTGGTGACCGTCTGGGAGCTAAATCATTCTCAGGCTACTCGGTGGTCTCCGTGGAGAAAGAAACGTTCCTGGTTTTGCTTTGTTTGATTTTTGATTTTCTTGTCTGGGAGCTAACATTTTTGGCTACTCCCAGAAAAATTGTAATTCAGTATCAAGTTTATTGGCAGGCAAATAGTAGCCACTCAGGAATTTTTCAAATTATCAGTCAAACTCCAAGCTTCCTTACTCACATTCCCATGTCAGAGGTGTTTTCTTTTAAGCACTTAGATTGTTTTACTCAAAAAGCTGCTGTGGATCTTTTGAACAGTAGTATTGTTTAGCAGTCAAGGGTATAAACTTTGCACAAAAACACACCTGTGTGTGACTTCTGGCTCTGCAAATAATTAGATGGGTGCTTTGAACCTCAGTTTCTCCTTCAGTAAAATGTACTGAATAAAACCTACCCTATGAAGTTATTGGAAGAATTCAGTGAAAAAATTTTCCCAGTCGTCTGCATCTTGCTTGCACCATTTTGACATATGAAAATACCACCTGTGCTGTTATCCTTTTAATATTCTCTACATTAACTCACTTTTTAATAAACTTTAAAAGATGAATGGACATGCATCTCCTCCCCGGCAACAGAATTTAAGTATAAAAACAAAAGGAATGGAGACTAACCAAGATTATTAAATTTCAGCTGGAAGAAAGTTTATTTGGTGTTATAGATTAGCCCCCAATCTGAGACATTCTTTCTTATTTAACCAGAGGAAGTGAAAAATTATTAAAAGGGAATGCTTTTTCACTATTTCAGTTGATGTAACTCCATATGTTGCTGATGCACCACGTGATACCTTCTCAGGTATCCCCCATGTCATGGGCATCTTAAAAAGCTGAGATGAAATCTGTGAAGGTTTTGTGTCCCTTACTTGATCATGTGCAGCACAATATCTGCTTCAAAAGTGCAGGTTTGCCATAGAAGAGAGGGAAGGAGAGGCTGCCGTGCGTTCCCTCTGCCTAGTGCTTGAATTTCCGCAAAGGAGCCTGAGGTCAAATTCTAGACCCAACCTGGGATCTCAAATTAGGAAACCACTCCTGGCCTCAGGGAAGACGGGGAACCTTCCCTGACAGAGCTCTCAGCACGGAGTGGTGTGCTGCTGAGTACAGGGGAAACTTGAGAGGGAGAAAACTCCCCTCCTGGGCTCCACCTCCTTGGAGTCTGTTAAGGGCTGACTAACTCCCAGCACCTCAGAATGTGACTGTGCTTGGAGACAGAGGCTTTAAAGAGGTAATTAAGGTACAAGGAGGTCATTGGTGCGGGTCCTGATTCTATACAATTTGTGTTTTAGAAGAGATGAGCACGCAGACACACCCAGGGAGGAGGCGGCATCTACAAGCCAAGGAGGGAGGCAGCAGAGGAAACCCACCCAGCTGACATCTTGATCCGGGACTTCTGGTTTCCAAGACGGTGAGACAATAAAGTTCTGTAAGCCACCCAGTCTGCGGCACTTTATTATAGCGGCCCTGGTAAACGAATAATATGAGTCGCTGTTTCCCACCTGAATGAAGGGGATAAGGGTTCAATAATTCATAAGGGTGTGTTTGAGAGCGCCAGGACTGTCTGACCGTACACACGTTTCCTCATTTACCATCCTCTCAGTCTGGCCATCCAAATTCTTCAGTGAAAAAAAAAGAGGGTCCATAAAAGAGTTTACCTTGGCAGCTTAAGAGAACAAATTTTAGTGAAGTTTTATATAATCTTGAGGAGTTGGATTATCTTAAATGTCAAAAAAGAATTCTGTTTCTTAGCCTGCTCAAGTCCCACGTTATTTTCTTTTTCTTCTTTTTGATCTTTCTCTCATTTTTACTCTTGATGCACAAAAATAGCATTCAAACTTGGTTGCATCTGGGTCTCATGCAGAAGTTCTGAGGTGACCCCCGCTTACTGTCTTTGTGTCCTTTCTCCTTTTCCACTTTTTCTCTCCCTCCTTTTTATCATCATTGTGCCAACTAAAGGCTTTACCCTAAAGCTATGACCATCCTCTTCCCCGACTCTGGCACATTTCCGAACATCCTTGGCATGCACCACCTTCGCCTCAAACGCCAGGTAACCTTTCAGTCCATTAGGTTCATTATGTACCCGAGGTGCACCCAAAGAATGCAGTACAGCCAGCATCTCAAAGGCTCCTCCACCTACCCCTATGGGGAAATCTCATTGTAAGGTGTATCTTTATAGCTAGCTCCAGGAATTCTCACTGTCCCTAATTAGTTTTTAAATGTTTGCCATTGTACATTCTGTCTCTTGAGGTAAGGTCTCCTAACCCCATGCCTTCAAGCAAGGCTCAAATACTATTTCTTTGAATATCATGTATCATCATACACATCGGTCAGATAGGCGAGTGTTTGAGGAGGTTCTAAGAGTTTCTTGGTGCCCTAGGTAGGTAGTTGGGACAGGAAGCTGAGTGGTTTATGGAAAACAAGTGTTCTGAGGCCTTCCATCCAACCAGGTCACCCAGGGATAATGGGTGAACGCTAGAGATAAGCAATGTGACTTATCAGCTGTGAAGCAGGGATAGGATAAAAGGAACAAAGACCTTCCCACAAACGGTGGGTGGCGTCAGTCCCCAAGAGCCTCTGCCGAGTTCCTGTGAGCTGCCAGTGGCTCAGAGGGCGAGGACTGCATGTTGGAACCCCTAGAACAAACGGCAGCTCAGTCGGGGCTGGGAAGGCAACAGTGATCATTTGCTGGCTTTTTGTTTGTTTTATGTGGCCAGTGTTTCTTCTCAGACATGCATCTCTCGCTCTGAGAGTTTTCTCTGGCTGGATTTCAGGGCCTGCCTCTTAGTTATACAATATGTTCTGATTCATACATTTTTGTGCAGGTTTGGCCTGTGAATAGATCCTGTATCCTGTTTGAAAGTTTCTGTGCACTTGGAATTTAGAAAATCTGCTGAATGGGGGCCAAAGGCCAGCTCCGGGTTCTGCTCCTGTGCTTTTCCTCTCCCACCTGGGTCACCGTCGGGGGAAAGTCTAATGCTTTCTCCTCCCTCCTAGAGGGCTCCTGTTCCTCTCCTTCTCAGTTTCATGATTTACAGAAAGGGAAGCTGGGCATGCCCTCTGGGACGCCTGTGTCTACCCTTGTGTGTACACACTTGCCCAGGGACACACCAACAATGAAAGTTGAAACACCAAACTTGTCTGGCATGTGGCCATTTGTCAACCAAACTGCCCTGTTTCTGTGTGTTTTAAGTGAATGGCAAAGGTCACATCCTGAATGTCTGCTGCCCTCTTGTCCTGTGTCCCTGCTCCTAGTAGGTTCCCTGACCATGGCCTTGCCATCTGGATCAAATTTAGTGCAATGTGACCAGCGCCATCCGGAAATGCTCTGTGAAGGACAATCAGGTACTCAGTGGCTTCAAGCAATACCTGGCTGTGATCTTCGGCTGGATCTTGGAGCCACTGGAACGTAAAAATGTTCCATTCTCAATTCAGCCTCTCTCTGTTTGCATACTCTTTGTGTCCCATGTTGCCACCTGGAGATGGAGACTCAAAGAAAATTATATCTGGGGGTTTATAATTTATAAGAAGAAAGACATAACACCTTTGATAACATTTCTGCAGCACTTAAGAAATTTGTGAATAGCAGAACCAAACAGAATGACCCAGTAGCCTGGGCGTCAAGCTTGACGCCCTCTTGAGAGCAGATGGATTTCTACCCACCAGAAAAGATGCCCTCACATACGGTCCAATCCTTTTCCCTTACCTCTTGGCTCAATTGTCTACACAATTTATTTGGCAAGGACCTGTTGTCACAGGAAACAGACTGGTTAACTAGGAGTAAATAGTAGTAAAGGGCCAGAATACTGGTCAGCATGTTCTCTAGCCTCATTCATGTTTATTCCTTCTCTTTACAACAAGCCTGACACCAGAAGTCATTCACTCATTCTTTCATGAACAGACATCCGTTGAAGAGGGGGCACTGTTTTAGATTCAAGATACTTCTATGAACACAGAAGACAGGGTCCCTGATCTCACCTGCTCATATGATCAGTGACTGCAGCGCACAAAACGGCCTGCTGAACCTCTTGGAGCTTCCTTCAAGAAGGTCCTGAGAGGCCGTGGCTGATGGACTCTAAGAAACCCATCTTCTGGGACTCAACATTCTCTACCTGAGTATGGGCTAGAACTGGGACTTCCAGAAACAGAAGAAGCAAAGGTGTTGCGATGCCATTTCAGTGGTTGCAACAGCATATCTAGGATTCCATCTCGCTTGCATACTTGCTTAGAAACTTCCTGCTGATTTTAAAGAAGGAATGAGCTGTGTTGAGAGGCCCACGTGGCACAGAGCTGTGGGCTGTTGCCATCCAGTGACCAGCAAGCAGCCAGGGCCCTCAGGCCTACAGATGAAAGGAACTGAGTTTGGCCAGCAACCTAGGTGAGCTTGGAGGTGGAGGCTTCCCCAGTCAAGCCTCCAGATGAGAACGTGGGCTTGGCGACATTCTGACTGCAGACTGTGAGATCTAGATAACCCTTTCCTAGACTCCTGACCCAGTAAAACTGTGAGATCATACCTGGGTTTTGTTTTAAGCTGCTAAGATTGTGGCAATATGTTAAGTAGCATAGAAAACTAATAGAGACCCCACGGACAAGAGGAGAAACCTGGCCCTGCACTGTCCTACAGGCCCCTGGAGCTGCTCTGGCTGGCTTCCTCTACTCTGCTTTAATCCAATCCTTAGGTCCTCGCATTGCACAGTTGTCACTGCTCTGCCTGGAAGTTGTCACTTCCTGCCCTGGGCAAATGTGTTTACAACCTCCCTGATTCCTGGAACTCCTTAAAATTGGAAAAACAACAAAGTTGTTGGAAGCAAGATCACAGACAAGGGGAGATACCTGAAAAATTGCATAAGTTGGGCACTGTGGCACTGAAGGGACTAAAAGACTGTCATCTCCCACCCCAGCCCCTCCCCTCCCCCACCCCAACCCCCTGCCCTTCCTCCACTAGCTGCGCTCCCCCACTCTCCCATTCATCCCCCCTGTTCTCTCCCAAGCACCTTTCTGGACCCCAAATTACCACTGTTGGAGGAGTTGTCTCAAGATAGTCCATTTAATGACATATGGTAACCTTCCATTCTTTCATTCATTAGCTCAACCAACAGATTTAATTTCCTCATTGGTAAAATGAGTTTAATAATAGCACCTAACTCATATAATTGTCATGAGAGGAAATGAGTTAATATATGTAAATTTATGAGTACTGGATTAGCACATTGTAAATACTATATAAATGTATACTATTATTATTGATGTGGTTGTGGGGTTGCTATTTATTATTACAGCTAGACAGTGACCTAGACTTTGGGAATACAGATATGTGTAAGACATAGACCCTTCCCTGTCGCTTGTTCCTTATCTCTCTGTTAGAGAGCTAAATTCTAAACAGAGAGGTAAACAGGACAGGACGTTTATGGAGTGGGGGCTTGAAATCAGCAATGCAAATTCTAGAAACACATAATGCACCCTGGCAAAAGCACACACATCCTAGGTGGGTGAAGTCTGGAGGTGGAAGTCATAAAAGATAGGTGCAATAGCACCTTATGTGTTCTTCAGATCTTAGGAGTCAGTTGGTGCTGAAGGAAAGGAGATGGGTGAAGACGAACTCCATCTACATTATCATTTTCACAGCAGCCATCTGCTAATGCAAAAAAGCGAAACTACAAACACTCACCATAGCCATAGGATTATTATTCATGGCAAATATACATGGGTACAACATGGTGGGGTGGGCTGCAGGGAAGACAATGTAGCACAGAGAAGACAAGTAGTGACTCTGTGGCATCTTACTACACTGATGGACAGTGACTTCCATGGGGTATGCGGGGGAGGACTTGATAATATGGGTGACTGTAGTAACCACATGTTTTTCATGTGAAACCTTTGTAAGAGTGTATATCAATGATAGCTTAATAAGAAAAAAATATATATATATATATACATGGGTACAATAAATACTCATTTAGGCTTCAATAAAAGTGTAAGCCTCCAGGAAGTAAGATTTGATTGGTCTTCCTTCAGGAATGCTAGTGGGAAATCTAAGGGTGAATAATCTTTGGTCGGGGGCGGGAGCGGAGTGCTTGGAGTACAGTGTGGTCCCTGTCCCCGGGAACACAGCTCCTTTTTTGTGAAAGGAACGTGATGAAGCAAAGGGGAAGTGGGCTGTCCTGCCCTGCATGGGACAGTTGTTGAAAATGAATCTCTTAGGGACAAGATTTGGCCTCCAAACAAACAAACCATTCAGGATTAAATCCATGTTTCTTTGGTGTTTCTTGATTAATGTATCTCCCAGGATAAGGATAAAAATGAGATTGCACCTGTATGAGATCATGCCACGTTCCAGTCGGTGTTTCTCAGTCTGTGGTTAAACTGTGAATTCCTTTTTATTACCCCAGTACCTAGCATAGTGCCTGCACATAGCAAAATATTCCATCTGTATTTATGAATAATGAGTCACTGAATGCTGATTAATAAAATTAGACAAAGAATGGTTAAATACGGTCAAAAGAGGGGCAAAATAATTCGTTACTCAGTCACTTTTATTCTTATTTGCAGGTTCCTACACTGAGGGAAAATTTTGTCCAATTTGGGTACAATTCTGGTAAGAATAAAATTCCAATCTAGAAGTGGGAAACTGTTCAAATTTTGTATCTATAGCAATAACCAGTTTTATGAGGCCTCCCCTAGACCTTCTTCCTAACCCTTCCATACAACCAGGCTTTGTTTTTCTGGCATAGAAAATCGGAAAAACAATTCTCCGGCACTTTTCTCCTGAACTCCTACTTTGCCAAGCTCTACAAATGAAACCACACGTTTTTATTTCCTCTCCTGGTCTATCACAAGATGTTTTGATTTTCACTCTTGGGGTTGTTCTCCAGATCTTGTTATGAAAGACCTGGGGATGGTTAATTTGATGTGCCAACTTCACGAGGCGGAGGAAGGCCCGGGAGAACTGGTAAACATTATTTCTGGGTGTGTCTGCGAGGGTGTTTCCCGAAAACATTAACATTTGAATTGGTAGACTTAGCAAAGACGGCACTTGTCAGTGTGAGTGGCCATCATCCAACCCGCTTGAGGGCTCGGAGAGAACTAGGTGGTGCTCTCTTTGCCTGAGCTGAGGCTTCCATCCGCTCCTGCTCTCAGACCTCGGGGCCCCGGTTCTCCCAGAGCGTGGGCCTCCCGAATCTCAGGCCTTTGGACTCCGACTGAAGCCAAGACTACACACCACTGGCTTTCCTGGGTCTCCAGCTTGAAGACTGCACATCAAGGGACTTCCCTACCTGCATGATTGCATGAGCTAGTTCCTTTAACGAATGTTCTCTTATTTGTGTCCATGTATATTTCCTATTGGTTCTGTTTCTCTGGAGAACCAGTACAGACTTCTTCACATATCAGCTAGTGAATGTATAAGCCTGACTTAGGTTGTGTCTATTTTTGGGAAAGGCAAAAACACGGCACCACCAGGAGGTAGGGTTTTAATGATTTAAAAAGGGCTTGTGATAGAATACGAGTCTACTATTTACTATCTTGCATAAGCTACTTAAACTTTCTAAGCCTCTCCTTCCTCTAAAATGAGAAAACAATTACTTAACTGAGATCATATAATTTAATGAGATGGTTTATGTAAAAATATTCAGCAACATAAGTATAAAATACTCAAAGAACTATAATAAAGCAATCTATCGTTATTAACTATTGCAATTGTGCTTTGATTGGGAGGCAGGAAAAGGAAAGAGAAGGAAGGGTTAAGGGCTTGGGTATGGTCTTGCACTACATGGAGGAGGGACGGGGTGCAGGAGAGAGAAATTTAGAGTGGTGGTTGTAGAGAGCCACAAATTGCTCTAGTATCATCTCTCAAAGGGCCAACTCTGGCTAATGCATTCTACAAGAACATTATACCTGTTCCCCACCAAATTCCTGGGGGATTCAGAAGCTTTTAATATACTTTGTCCCATAAAGTATTGTAGGCAGAATAGTGGCTCACCAAAGTTGTCTGTGTCTTAATTTCTAGAGTATGTAAGTATGTTACCTTACATGGCAAAAGGGACATTGCAGATGTAATAAGGACTATGTACCTTGTCATAGGGAAATTATCCTAGTTTATCTAAGATCCATCTATCCATATAAGCCCTCAACAGTGGAAAAGGAAGGCAGAAGAGTCAGTCAGATAGATGTGGCAGAAAGAGAGAGGCGAGGGTCAGTGCCTGGAGGTACTCACCCCCCTACAGCTGGCTTCGAAGAAGAGGAAGGGGGCCATGAGCCAAGGATGCAGAGAACCTCTAGAACCCAGGTAAGGCCCCCAGCTGACAATCAGCAAGGCAATGGGGACTGAGTTCTGCAGTAATGCACATGATGGAACCCACTTGTCCTCTAGATTCTCCAGAGAGAAATGCTGCCCTGCCAATAACGGGGTTTTAGCCCCGTGAAATCCATGCTGGACTTTTGACATGGAGAATTGTAAGATAGTAAACTTGTGTCATTTAAGCCACTAAAGTAGAGGTAATTTGTTTTGGCAGTAATATAAAACTAATACACGGAGGTAAGGATAAAAGCTTTATTTGATGTCATCCATCCATTCATTGGTTCATTTATTCATTTTTCAAACATTCATCGAGCAGCTATAGTGAACCAGGCACTGAGCCAGTTGCTGATAATAAAAGCGTGAGTAAGATCGCAACAAGTGTGAGTAAGGTCCTTCCACTTACCAGAAAAAGCTTTCCAACTCCCTAAACAACTTGTTCTGCCTTAATTCTCTGAACTATTTAACCTCCTCTCCTGCCTACGATTTCAAAACACTTAGTCACAGTGGCGGGGGTGTGTGTGGTGTTTTGCAAACTCATTGGCATGGATGTAGCATTGGAAAGTTAAAGAAAAACAAAAGGCTTTTCCCCTCTCGGTCTATGTCCAGTGAGATCATGGCTTTGCTGCCCTTCAATATGCAGCTTTGGTCACTCAGTAAACAACGATATCGCACTGCAGCTGCTCAGTGACACCGTGACGTCCTCCTTGCTCAGAAAAGCACTCTCTATACGACTGCCTAGGCCAGGGCTTCCAAATCTTGGTGTGCCTAAGAATCACTGGGAAGGCTTATTAAAACACAGGCTCCTGGGCCTCAGCCCCAGAGATTCTGATTCAGTAGGTCTGGGCTGGGACCTGAGAATCTGAGTTTCTAACAAGCTCCCAAATGATGCTTTCTGTTCACAGGCCATACTTTGAGTGTCTTTGTTGGGTCGCTCCTTATTTATTTGTAGAGTTGATGGAACCAGGATAGGCAGAAGTGGACAAACCCCAAGAACACGTAGCATATCGGCTAGTTGGTGCCATGCTTTCGAATACCTGAGCCCTGAGAGTTCTCCACCCTGATCCCTCCCATTTTCTTCCCAGACGGGACTTCCCTGCCCTCCTAGGGTGACCTGGGATGCTCTGCAATTGGCACAATCTCAGACCACTAAGAAGTAAGGGAGAAGAGGGGAGAGTGAGTGGTGTTTCCCTAGCCCAGAGTCCAGACAAAGGGGCCTGATGACCTTGCCTTCATAAACAGCATCCTTATTGATAATGTAAAAAGACAAAACAAAACAGTGAACTTACACAACTCGGTATGAGGACAGGTCATGTGTCCCACTGAAAGGCAAGCAAGGTGATCACACAAGGTGCTCTGTGGACACAGAGAGTGTCACATGCCATTGCAGTATCTCCCCGTCCCCAGCCTCTGTTAACATCCTCTCACCAAATTCTGCTGCCCTTTATTTTCCATGAGCTTTTTAAAGTCAGAGGGCACACTAGAATGTACTGACACAGACACCTGAGTACATGTACAGTGAATCCAGGCAATCTTGAACTTCTAAACTGAGTTCTTGCATATGTCACATCACTTTGATTGGCTGTATAGATTCTCGTTCTTCTTTTTAAGATTCAGAAAGATAAAATGAGGCTTTGGGGCTTTGGTCTATTATTGGGAAAAATTCTAAAAGCAATTGAAATACTAAAGCATCTTCTCCATCGTTTGAAAAAGCAGAAGTGTCATAAATGTCAGGACTTTGTCAAATACTGTTTGCTTCATTGAAAGGAAATAGATCACCTTGTTGTAGAAATTGGTTTTTTTGCTTAGGTCCTCTTTCTAAACAAAAGATATTTCTAGACCTTCAGAAGATAGTTTACCTCCAGATGCTTGTAGCAATGTCATTTCCTTCATGCTAGGTCTCTGAAAAATGAAAAAGACTTGATGTATGAACTTTTACATATCTATAAATCTCTTTTCTTTTAACAAGGGTAAAAGACCATTATTGCTTTTATTTGGCAAATGATTGTTTAGTTTTGTTTAGCTCTAATGCAGGGATTCCTAACTTGTTTTCTGCCATGAGCCTCTCTGGATATCTGTTGATGCCTACAGACCCCTTTGAAGAATTTTGTTTCGAGAGCATTAAAAACACCACATATAGGTCTACAAATAAAAACAATAATCTATAATTGCAGTTACCTAAATATTAAGTCAAATTTGTGATATGGTAATACATGCACTTCTTATTGATGCATTAATTATGGTCTAGCAGCCAGGCTACTACCTACAATAATTTTGAAGTAGTGATACACAAGAACAGTATTTCAGGTATCTGTAACAATTTTGATTGGTATGAATGAATATATCTGTAATTTCCACTGGAAATAAAGACACAGTTGTTTACTACTATGGCTTGTTGTCTACATTCTTAAATGAAGGAAATTTATAAATTTCAGATAGAGGTTAGTGCAAATAAAGATACAATTAGTCTCTTCCAGGTCCACAGGCTCTGTGAATTCCATCCGTAGACATCCTTGAGGATCGGTGGGCCACAATTTGACAAAATCTGCCTGAAGCACCCTCACTTCAATGTCTTCCTTCCCTCTGAGCTTCGTTTCATGAACTGTGAATTTTAATGAGCTCAAGAAAAGGATTTCTGTGCATCAGCCACCCTGTAACAAGTGGATGTCATCGTCCTTCCGTGGGGAACACTTCTAGGCTCCCTATGAAATTCCAGAAACTATAATGATGAGTCTCTGACCCTCAGGGAGTTTGAATTATTCAGGAACATACTGATTCATTGTCTTTGAAACTTTTCTAAACAACACTGAAGTATATCTACTAAATACAAAAAAAAAAAGTTTATTCTCCCTCCCCTCGTCCACTCCCTTGCCGAGATGGAAATCACTGTTGCCAATGCATTTATGTATGATGTATACCTCTTAATTCTCTGACCTTCATATGTCAGTGGGAACATGGATATATTATCATACTTAGCAGTAACTGGGAAAAAAGAAAGTACTCAACTTATTTCAGCAAGTTTGATATCTTCTGGTTGAAGCCCCCAAAGATTAGCAATATTTTCTCTCACATGCAAAAAATCTCAGGAAAGTTCGCTCAGACCCATGGGTCAGATGCCAACTTTTGGTCCAGTCACTTGACAGGGATGCATGTAGAGTTGTTACCTGGCTGTTTCTACAGCAACCATGTAAATGCATGGGTTGAGCAGTTTTGTTCTTCAAAAAGAACCTAGCAGCTTGCCTCCACTAACATCCTTTAGAAGGCTGAAGTCTCCTCCACCTGAAACAGAATGGAGACCTACATGGGAAAATGAGAGCACTAGGCTACCCTCTTCCTCTGTGATAAACAAGGACTCATTCTCTTTTAAAATACTTGTAGTGTTACCTTCTCTGAATAAAAAGTAATGCACAAAAGGCTGAGAATTGGGAGACATCTTTTTAAGTGCAGTAAAGTGGTAAAGCATCTCCCATTTCTTCAAGAAACCTTCTGTCAACTCTCCGGGTGGCACTTTCTGCAATTTCCTTTGACCATCAGGGTTTGAACATTTAAGTCAGTTGTCATCGCCCTTGACTACACATTAGCATCACCTGGGGAGCCTTTAGAACTACTCATGCCCTGTCCCACCTCCAGAGATTCTGACATGGTTGATTTGGGATATGCCCTGGTTATGCGTGTTTTTTTTTTAAATATCCTCAGGTGATTCTCACATTCAACAAAAGTTGAGACCCACTGACTTAGGTTGTCCTCATATTCTTTTTAGTTACAGAAATAATGCATAAATATATTCTTGTTAATTATTTCAAGCACAGTTCTTAATTTTTAAAACATTCTTCAAAGTACATAGAATAAGGTTTTAACTCTGCCATGCCGCAGAATCACCTGGGAAGCATATTTAACATGCAGAATCTCATGCCTGGGAGTTGGGATATACGAATGTGTGTTTTTTACAAGCTCCCCCCTTTTCCTTTTTTATAAAAGCTTTCATTTTGAAGCAAGTTTATAGAAGAGTTGCAGAGTACTCTCCTATACCCTTCAGCTGGCTTCAAGCATCTTATGTAATGGTGGTACACTTAATCAAAATGAAGAAATTAACACTACTCAAATACTATTAATTAAACTACAGCCTTTATTTGGATTTCATTTTTTTTAATACTGTCTTTTTTCTGTTCCAGGATCCAATCTAGGATACCATGTTACATTTAGTTGTCATTTCTCTTTAGTCTTCCTTGACCTGTAACAGTACTTTGGTCTTATCTTTCATGCCCCTGACACATTGAAGACTATTTATTAGTTATCCTCTGTCTCGCCTGAGGGTTTCAGCACTGGGCAAGTTCACTCAGGATTTGATGAGACTGAAAAACGGCAATGGAATGTTGTGAGTAAAGGGGTTTATACCCAGCTTTATTCTCGAGGTGGAAGGTCAAGCACTAGAATCCTGTCCTTCTCCAGAGACGTCGGCATACAGCAAGCCAGTCTCTGTCTCTGGGCCTCTCTGCTACCTTGTAGCCCCAGAGCACTGGGTAGAGCTCTTTATATAGGGTCAGTGATAGCCCACTGCCAACATGTGTGCAAGCAGGTGCTTGCAAGCATTGCATGTGCACAGTGGGCAAATATATCCGGGTCAGATGAAGATCCTGGCCATAGGAACTTCCATTTTTCCCCACACTCCACACCTCCAGGATTCTTGCCTCACGATCTATGCACCCTCAACCTTCCATGATGGACCCTGTGCAAAAAACCTGGAGCATTGTAACAAGATTCCACAATAGCAACAGAGGATACAACAATACGCAAACAACAAAATTATGATGCAGACAACAATAACAAAAATATAATAATCCTCAAACCTGAGGAGATCAGTTGCCACCAACTGGTCATACCAGCCATATTCACACCAGTTCTACTCAGATAAGTTCATGACTCACACTTTCTGTGCTCACCCAGCAAGCAGCAGTTCTTGCTAGGGTGCCTGCCCAATTCACACTGTAACTGTAAGGGTGATAACACATGTTTTAATGACACCAACATAGGCAAGTCTTGTCCATCAGGTAGGATACATGCAAGTATGTGGTCCTGTGATAGGACTGTGGCAGGAAGGGTGTCCCATCTGGGTCTAGTGTACCATACCTTTACCCCTCTTCCCATGGGGGTTACTGAGGGGTCCATATATAGTGCTACTGGAGGCACAGGAGCTCATCCTTCCCCACCATGGTCTTTTTTAATACTGTGAGGATAGCCAACCCATGGCTCCTGCCACCTTGTGGGCTTATTGTTTCTCTAAGGATCTCCCAATCTCATGGAGGGTCCCTATCACTGCTCCAGGCATCACCTCCACCTCCCCCAAGTCCCAGGGAGGGGCCCACCCCTTTAGGAATAAAACCACCTTGGCCCACAGGTCCACTTGGGGATACCTAAATTCCTCCTCATCCGTAAGGGATTCCTGCAGTATTTCTCCAGCCAAATAAGGGCAGTCTGCTGAAGCACCCCTCCCAATGAGGGCAGCTTGTGCCATTTTTTGGTCCATAGTGAATCCTGCCAGCTTCACCAAATGTCTTGCCTGAGGGTTTCAGCCCTGGGCAATTTCACTCTGGATTCAGTGAGACTGAAAAATGACAATGTTGAGGGTAAAAGGATTTACACCCAATTTTATTCTTGTGGTGGCAGATCAAATGCTAGAATCCTATCTGCCTCTGGGGCAGTCTGCATGCAGCAAGCTGGTCTCTGCCTCCAGGCCTCTCTGATGACTCGCAGCACCAGAGCACTGGGCAGAGCTCTTTATGTAGAGTCAATAATACCTCCCTGTCAGTATGTGTGCAAGCGTGTGCCTGTGAGTATTGCATGTGCACAGTGCGTGAGTATATCAGGGTCAGGTGAGGATCCCGGCCACAGCAACTTCCATTTTCCCTACATCCCTCAATATATAATGCAAAGGAATTTAAAGAGAAATCTCCTTTTACCCTCATCTCCACATCCTACCACCTTCCTCACCCTTGAGGTAACTACTGATAAAACTTCCGTGTCCTTCCAGTTTTTTCTTTTTTAAATAAATACCCATACCAACACACACATTATATAAAAATATAAATATCTGGGGACAACTTGCTTTTATTTATGTAACAGTTTCATTTGGTTATCTTTTATGATAGTATGTAGAATGTTTAATTTAACATTCAATATGTTAAGTTAACTTAGTATGCCCTGGAAAGGATAAAGTGTGTTTTACATAGAAAAACTTCTGCTGTAGTTGACATTCAAAGCAGCAAAACCCAAATCTGAGGGGATGGTAATGTAAGGAACACATTTTTCTGATTTTGTGTCAAAATGCTCATACAAATCTGGGAAATGGATGTCACACAACAGAAGAATATACTGACTTTATCATAAACTTTTCTTTATTTGAACTCAAGTGTTTTAAATATAAATAAAAGAAAAAAATCGCAGGCTAGAGATGAAGACTTGTTCAACTGGATACTCTTTGAGAGATAGGAATCCTTTGTTAGTTCCTCAAAAAGTCATTCAAATTCCTGTTGTCCCCCCTTTTCCATGTATTTAGTGGATTTGGCTAATTTTACAATACTGTTGCGATAAAATGTTTTAAAGAAATTGCTTTTATAGGAAGACTTTGAATACACTTGAATTTGAATTTTAAAAATCTTGTTTCACTGAGAACAGAGGAAACAGCATTTTAATCATATTGGTTGGAGCAGGAATATATATGGCCTCCTCAAGAAGACAAAATTGTATTGAGGTTATATGCAGTTACGATATCAGAAGAAAAGTATTTTTCCAATTCTAGCTTGTTGTTTCTCTGGTGTATTCAGTATTTGAAGAGGGGTTTGATATAAAAAATAAAGTCCACTCCTCGGCAGGTGACACATCGAACAGCCTGTTCTGTCACTGGGAAGTCATCTGGTCAGCAATTAGGCTGAACAATCGGGACAAAGACAGCCCCACTGTGATAACTCACGGCATTCGGGTTCTCCCATTCTGGCCTTGAAACAAATATACATATTGTAATTAACAAATAAAGTGCTTTATTAAAAAAATAGATCTCGGTCCAGGCTCATCACTTTGGGTCCTTATTGTACAACATGGTGGTCCTATGAGATTAAGTTTATAGATTTGATCCTTAAATGGCTTTAATCATCTTTCCGTCGAGAAAGCCTCTTTTCTACAGGCATGGGCAGTTCTCCTAACCTTAGCCAACTTTTATGCAAATCTATTCCTGAACCAGTCAAGGTTCTCAAGAAAAAGTAAACCAAAAAAGATGAGTGGATGGGTGGCTAGCTATAGATACAAACACAAAGAAATTTAAGAAATTGACTCACACGAATTGGAAGGTCCAGCAAGTCCAAAATTTGTACAGCAATCAGACCTGCTTGAAACTCAGATAGATGCTGCAGTCCTGAGACAGAATTTCTTCCTTGGAAACCTCAGATTTTGCTCTTAATGCCTTCAACTGTAAATGAGGCCCACCACATATCAAGGGCAATCTCCTTTACTTAAAGCCAAATGATTGTAGATATTAACCACATGTACAGAAAATGTTCACAGCAACACCTAGATTGCTGTTTGAGTAAAAGGGAACTATAGTCAAGCTGACACATAAAATTAACTACTACAGTTCCCTTGTTAAAAAGAGCAGAATAAAGCTTAACAGGGTGTCTAATAAATGCTAAAATAGCTGCCCCTGCTGGAAAATGCAGAACATATTCCTAATAATGGTGGTCAATATTTTTAGATGTATTTTAGCAAATACTTTTATATATTGCTAATGTTGAAAATACCACTAATATTAATACATCATTAATATACTAGAGTGTCAACAATCAGAGGCACATATACACAATGGAATAATATTCAGCCATAAGAAGAAAACAAATCCTACCATTTGCAACAACATGGATGGAGCTAGAGAGTGTTATGCTCAGTGAAATAAGTCAGGCGGAGAAAGACAAGTACCAAATGATTTCCCTCATTTGCGGAGTATAACAACAAAGCAAAACAAGGAACAAAACAGCAGCAGACTCACAGACTCCAAGAAGGACTAGTGGTTACCAAAGGGGAGGGGTGGGGAAGGGTGGGTGCGGGGAGAGGGAGGGAAAAGGGGTTAAGGGGTATAATGATTGGCACACATGGTGGGGGAGGATCATGGGGAAGACAGTGTAGCACAGAGAAGGCAAATAGTGACTCTGAGACATCTTACTTCACTGGTGGGCAGTGACTGCAGTGGGGTATGGAGGGCACGATAACATGGGCCAGTGTAGTAACCACATTGTTTTTCTTTGTGAAACCTTCATCAAAGTATACATCAATAATATCTTAATAAAAAATATATATTAAAAAAATAAAAATAGATACAACATGTGCCAATAACTTACCCTGAGGGCAGAACATGACCCAATTCACACAGGAGGATGAAATACAAGCCACCACAACACAATGTGTTTTCATCGTTTAAGTCTGTTCAAACAGGGCTGGTGTTTTAGAAACTGGTGACAACCCAACAACATAGAAAATGAGAGCTTTTTACATTTTCCTCAGACAATGGCAACTCTTGCAGCACTGTGGCTTTAAAATTGTTTGTGAAAGTAACAGACTTTTGCGAGTTGTCCTCACTACCTCACTGAAACCCAGTGCTCTCAGTCAAGGTCAGATAGACCCACCAAGGGAGCTGGCAATTGTCAAATCACCAATGACAAAATGATGGGCCAAAAAGGGGCAAAACTGGGACAAGTTCCATCACCCTGGCTTGCCCCTCCCCTCTTGCTTGCTCTGTGGGACTGAACACCCTGTAAGCCCAGGAGGGCAGCTTTGAAACACCCTCTTTTGTAGGTACCCTGCTTTTTTCTTAGGAGTCCACCTTCTCTTTCAAATTTTCTTCCTTGATGGAAGTTTCCAGGCCTTAATAAGCCACAAGAGCAAAAGGGCCCAGCATTTGAGGCATTCATTGCCTGATGCTGAGGAGTTTAGGACCCTGTATGTATGGCCCACTATTGTAGCTCACTGCCTGGCAGGGTTCCTGACCCATCACAGACATTCAGTAATATTCAAGTGCTTAAGTGAAATAAGGGTGTGTGTGTTTAATCTGAATCAGAGGATGGTAGCTTTGACAATAGTCCAGGTTTTTCCCCACTACTTCCAATTCCTGCCAACTAATGGGTTAATGGGGCTAATGATGTCAATTATAGTCCTTTTTACCTCTTTTGGAAGGACAAATTAGCAAGCACAGTCACCGTTATTACACTGCACTCTGACTTACTGTGGGTAATTTTGCAACATTTCCAGAATCTCTCCCCTGGCCTTAGTACACCTCCACATCAATAGGTGATTATGGGGAGTGAGTGAGAGCGCGTCTGGACCAGGGAGGTTGGGTGGGGCTCCTTTTCTTCTGCAGCCGGGTCACGAGATACGTGAACGAGCAGAAGTGGATGACTGCTTGCAAGCACTAAAAGGGTTTCTCCCAATTTATTTCTCCCTTTGACTGATTTTGGTTTCAAAGGTATTTTGCCCCGGGCTGAGAAGGTGTACCCCCTGGGAGTCATACTTACAACAGCAGAGCAGCTCAGGCAACAAGAAATCCCCCCTCTGCCCCCCACAAGTTCTGCTTATATTACAGACAGCATGGGTCTTCTCTTTTCACTGAGGAGGAAAGGGCTGAATTTATTTAATTTTTTTGCCTTTCCTGGATTTGGCTTCTATTGTGGGAAGGTGGAAGAAGAGAATGAGCTGGGTTCAACCCTCACCTGCACAGGCACTGGTAGTCTGGGCTAGACCTAGAGCCTGCTCCCCATCCTTACGGAGAACTGAGTGGCAGTGTGTTAAAGCTGGCAAGGTGCTGAGAAAGCTTCATGTCCACTTTGGTGGTTTTACTGAGGATGAAACAGATGTTCTGATGGATAAGGAATTCTCTGGTCAGCCATAGCAGCAGCAGGACAGGAAACTGAGTCTCTGGGCCCCACATGAGTGGTTCGGAGTCTCTTTCTTCCTATTACCTGGCATGGCAGTCCTCATTCAGGTATTCTGAAGTTTTTGTGCCAACTTGAGATTTCAAACACCCATGGAATCCTGGCTATGTGATGTGGTGGTTGTGGTTTTCCTTCTGGATACAGGAAAGTTGAAAAGCAGAGTGACTGGAGACAAATTAACATAATTATATATTTTCTGTCCTGGAAAGATGTTAGGGAAGAAAATAAAGTCGCAGAAAAATGCATAGCAATCAAGCCTATTTTGTGCACATGAATCTTAAAAAATGGGTCTGAAGTGAATTGTTAAAAGTGGCTCCCTCTAGGACATGAGTGAAACTGGATAGTGGGACATGAGGGGGACTTTCATATTTTTATGCGCAATGCTATTCTATGGTATTGTTTTTACAGTGAAAACATAATCACATATTTCATTAGTAACATGATAAAAGTTACTTGGATTCAACCAAAGACGAGTATGTAGAATACAAAAAGGACTCTCAAAACTCAACAATAACCAATCCAATTAGAAAATGCACAGAAGACATGACAGACGTTTCACTGTCATCCAGATGACACAGCACTTGAAAAGATGTGCAAAGTCATTAGATAAAAGAAAAATAAAATTAAAACTACAATTAGATGCCATAACCTAGCTATCAGCATGGCTAAAATAAAGAATTGAGAAAATACCAAATTCTAACAAAGATGTAGAAAAACTGGACCCCACTGCTGACAAGAAGATAAACTAGTGTAGCTGCACTCCGAAGTCTTTTGCCAATTTCTTACGAAGTTAAACTTTATGATTCAGCAATTGTACTCTTAGGTATTTATTCCAAAGAAACGAAAACTTCTGTTCACGATAAAATGAATGCTTATAGCAGCTTTATTCATAATAGCAAAACACTGGAAATGGCCCAGGACCCTTTGATGGGTGAAGGGCTGAAGGCACTGAGGTGCATACATACCGTGGAATATTCTGGTACATGCAATAACTTGGGTGACTCTCCCAGGAACTGTGCTGAGTGAAAAAAGCCAACCCCAAAAGATTACATAAAGTATGATTCCATTTATGGAATGTTTTTGAAATAACAAAGTTTTAGAAATGAAGAACAGATCGGTGGTTGCCAGCACTGAGGGGTGGGGAGGGTTGGAAGGGCTGGGTGTGGTCCTAAAAAGACAACCCAGGGCTCCTTGTGGTGGTGGAACTGTCTTGCATTTTGACTGTGGTTGTGGACACATGAATTTACATGTGATGAAACTGGATACAACTAAATACACACACAGTGCAAGCATAAGTGCAGTAATTGGAATATGACTGGCAGATTGTACATCCTGTCACTATCCTGGTTGTGGGATGGTTCTATAATTTTGAAAGATGTTGTCATGGAAGAAAACTGGGTAAAGGGTACATGTGATCTCTCTGCATCATTTCTTACAACTGCATGTGAACCCACAATTATCTCAGTTAAACTTTTAATTAAAAAATTAACATATGGACGTATTTGAATATATCGGTCAACCCCTTGCCTGTCAAGCTGCAGGCAGAGGGTGGCTGCAGATCCCCTTCCCTGCCTCTAGAGGGTGAGGCATCCTTCTACCTTCCCAGGAGACACTACCCTCCTAAACACGTTTACCTTGTTTTTTCCCCAAGCACAAAAGGGAGGACAGGCACTGATATTATCTCAGTGAATTAATTTCTGTAACCATAAAATCTGATCTGGTTTCAGGTCTAAATCAGAGGCTCTCAGCCCTGGCTGCAGATCAGAATCATCTCTAGTGCTTTAATGACTTGCCAGTGCCAGCACCCCTTCCCGCACTGATTAAATCAGTCTTGGGGATGAGATCTATGCACAGTTTTTTTTTGGTGCTTAAGCTCTCCAGACAATTCTATTGGGCAGCCAGGGTTGAGACCCAGCGGTCAGAGTGCTTATTACAATGATGACTTTTAAAATGCCAGCCCAAGGCCACGATTCTCAGCACCCCAGCCTACACTGCTGGGGTCAGAAGGATGAGCTTTCAGGGGCTCATTTTCCCTCTGCAGTCAAAGCTAACTTGGTGTGGGAACCTTGAGAAGAGAGCATGCTCAGGAGCAGGCCAGGAGGGAGAGTTCTAGCATGCACACAAGCATGCTCAGTATTCCCCAGGCTGTGTACTTGACTGAGCTCCTCCACACACACAGGGCTGAAGCTCTGCCAGTTTTCTCTGCTGGCCGCTTCTGAGGCTGCCAAGAGGCTGAGCAAACTGTGGGCAGAACATTAGCCATAATGAGGTTGTAGCAGGAATGGGAGAGGGCAGGGGAGGCAAAAGTCCTGGGACGATAAAATCTTGTGGCTCACTCTGCCTCTGACGGAGAGTCTGCAGCCACGCCACTGAAGACACTGGAACCTCTCTGCAGTTCTGGGCAACATCAGGGAGGTAAACAGGGCCTGGGGACTAACCTCAGTGTCTCCAGAGTAGAAAAGAGGCTGGGAATTTTGTGGCCCCTGCAGCATCCTTCCTGATAGGGTACACTTGTAGGGTGGGTACTTGCTTACAGACAGCCCCAGAGGTGATACAAAGCAAAACTCACTTAACAACTCCGGTGTACAACTCACATCCAGCAATTAGCATCTGGAAGGAAAACAGAGCTATGAAAAACTCTGTGTGATTATATCATAAATACCACGAGAATTTCTCAAACAACCCAAGCAAATTCCTCAGACTGCTAAAAGCCAAGCACAGAGAAGTAACAGCTTTCTGGCCATTGGTGCTTTCCTTCCACGGTTATTCATGAATTTCAGACATTTTCTTGATTGTTCTAGAGATTAGCAAAGTTAGTTTCTCCTGCAATCCAACTGTGTCCCATTATCCACAGTTGTTACCATTCAGATTGTGTTCCTAGGCTACTAAGGAACCATTAAACAGTTTCCAAAAAGCCACATACTGCTTGATACCCGTATGCATTGTGTTCACAGAATCCCAAGTGGTTATGAAAACAGCTGCTGTTCATCTACACACTGGTCCTCTCCTATGTTTAAATGCTGTGCATCATTTGGAGAAGAGAAGAAAATAATAAAGTTATTTTCTCTCACTCATTTTCTTTATTTCCAATTGCAATCACTCCTGCAGAGGCACCTCTTTCCGTAAGAAGTCACTGCCGAGGGAGATGAAAGACTGAGAAGTGGCTGGTACCCAGATGCTTGCTGCTGGCTAGGCTGAGCACATGCTCTGGGATTCCTCACGGACTTGATTCCTAACTTCTTTATCTCTCCTCTCTCCTCAGTTTTGACTAAAAGTGATGACACAGTTTTTCTTTCCCCAAATCTTTGTGAAACATCAGTTGAGGCTGTAGTGGATTCCTGCTTTTAGGCCAAAGGTGCTCAGATCTTAAGCTTTAAGATTTAAAAGATCAGCTTCTGGGGTAGACAACCATGTTATATGACCAAGTCCCAGTAGCAATTCTGGACATCAAGGTTCTGCCTTTGGTGGCAGTACTCTGTGTGTATTGTCGCATATTGTTGCCAGAACAAATTAATACAACTCACAGGTCTGCTGGGAGAGCAATACTGGGAAACCCACGTGCGGAGCTCTCTGACCAGATTCTAATCTGTACCTTTTCATTGTGATAAATCATGACCATGCCCATAATACCTTCCAGTGAATTCTGAGTCCTTCTAGGGAATTCTCAAAACTGAGAGGGGTCTTCAAACCTCTGAACTTGAAATCATTGTCAGACGTGGTCTTGTGGACTCCCCTGACTTTGCAGTTCTCACTAACAACCCTGGAAAAGTCAGATGACCTTTCTGTCTTCAGTTAACTCATCTTTATAAGTCAACTCATGATTATTCCTGACCTGCTGGCCCTTATATAAAGAATAATACAACTGAAATGATGTATTTGACAGGACTTTATGAACCATAAAATGCTTGTTAAATATAAAGGATTATTACTGTCATTGTTGCATGTTACCTGTTTCAAGGAGTTCCAGGTGAGAGATAGCATAGCTCTAGAGGTCAATGGTCCAGCCAGATCTGGCTTTGATTCCCATGTCTATCAATTACTGAGGCTACTTCATCTCTAAGTTTCACATTCCTCATCTACAAAATAAAGGTAATAATATTTAGTTCATACAGTTGTTGTAAGAATTAAATAAGACTCTAAGTACTTAACACATATATGGACAGACTCCAACTTATAATGGTCCTACTTATAATTTTTCAATTTTAAGATGGTGTGAGAGCAATATGCATTCAGTAGACACTCACTTTGAGTTTTGAATTTTGGTCTTTCCCTGGGCTAGCGATGTGTATAAAATACTCTCTTGTGATGCTGGGCAGCAGCAGGAAGCGACAGCTCCCAGTCAGCCACACAATTAATCATGAAGGTAAACAACCAATATGCTTAGAACCATTCTGTTTTGCACTTTCCGTATAGTTTTCAAATCAATCACATGAGATAGTCAATGCTCTGTTATAAAATAGGCTTTGTGTTAGATAATTTTGCCCAACTGTAGACTAACATGAGTGTTCTGAGCATGTTTAAGGCAAGCTAGGCTAAGATGTCCCGGAGGTGAAGTTTATGAAATGCATTTTTAACTCACAGTATTTTCAATTTAGGGTGGGTTTATCAGGATGTAATCCCATTGTTCGTTGAGGAAGATTTGTAGTTATTATTATCACTATTATTATTTTTGATTACCATTAATTCATAAATTAACCAGCAGTAGAAGTCAGAGCAGGGAGGGTGGGGCTACATTGCCATTTTTGCATAAAACTCAACATGGCATTACTCTTGGCTTTAAAATATTACTCCTGTACTGGTTATCAAGTTGTTTTAGAATATTAACTAGTTGCCTATATTAACAGAGCTAATATAGATTCAAAACTAATTTACTACTAACGTATGATCAAGAGTGTATTTTATATGTCACTGTGGTTTTATTTAAGCATGTATGTTAATTGGCTGGCTGTGAGTTGGTTGAAGGAGATACTAATATTCTTTTTCATGCTGCTAATGAATGGAAGTGGATTCTAACAAAAACTCATAAAATCAATAAGGCAGACAGAAATTAGAACAGGGTTGGAGGAAATGATGTAAAGCTAATATGTTTAAGAAGAGGTTTAAAACTGTTAGAGGATTTTACCAATTTTTCCTCTCTTTTCTTGAAAACATGATTTCTCCCCTACCCCTGCCCTTTGCCAAAGAAGAAGTGTTTCCACTTTCCCTTAGAAGGATTTTTACCAGCCCTTCCCTGCACTCTCCTTTTCTCCAATCTTGACTCCTTAATGAGAATTTGGCACTATGTTAGGTCAAAGAGGGTGCTCATTTTCCTCTGAAAGATGCCTGAGATACTCTTTTGAATCATAAACAGTTCACTTAATGGACAAAAGTCCAGTAAGACTTTTGGTTTAATGAGTTCACAGTAGAATGGAGTGTGACATTTTGATTTGCTACAGGACAGCCTACAGAAATGTGCATTAACACATAGAATTTCTATTTTGTTTTCTTTTTCTAATTACTAAGTATCCTATGAAACAGATCTCAGTGTATGAAACAGTGTGTAAGGAGCTCTATTTCTGCACATCTCTTCACTACTTCCTGCCCATATCCCAGCCTCTCTCTACCCCTGAGCCTCACCTCATCACTAGGGCTCATCTCTTTCGTGAGCTGGACCCTATTCTTCTTCCCATCCCTGATCCCCACCCTCTTCTCTGAGATTCACCTACCCTTGAGTCCCACCCACTCTTATTTATGAGCCTAACTCTTGCTCACTCCCACCCTACAGCCATCAGGAGAGAGGGAGGGGCAAGGGCTTGCCACATCGCTTTAAAGATGAGTCCTGGAAAAGGTACACATTTCATTTTACATTCCATCGGCCACATGGTAGTTACATGACCACATCCAGCTGCAAGGGCCTTTATTCTAGGGACTGGGTGCATTCTCTGCCACTACAACGCCATCTGGCGTACAGTGATTCGTAACACCATATTTTGTACTGTTCCCTAGCATTTTACACCATTTTCCCCTGCTTACCAAAGATACATGGCCATTGTAGAAAATGTGAAAAGTATATAATGCTACAGGCAGTAAAAATACTCCCCACAATCCTAGCAGATTCCCCAAAGAGGAATATTTATTAATATTTTGATATGTTCCCTTCCAGAACTTTCTCCATTCCTTTTCTTTACCTAGATCAGATTAAATTGTAAAGGCAATTTTGTGCTTCAATTGTTCTTTAAATTTATTAGTAACTGTATCATCTAATTGGATAATGTTTTCCCATGAAAGTGTCCCTAATGCCTGAGAGAGGAAGACAGTGCTTCTGTCCCAAGTCTGGAGGAAGGAAATGGAAGCAAAAGAATGAGGATTCTGGATACTTAAGGTATCAGCCACTGTTCTCATTGCAATCCAGATGAACTATAGGGGCTATGCCCTGGGGAAATGACTACAGGCATGATAATTCAAAAAAAAAAGAGCAGGGTGAAGTCCAGGCCCTTGATAAATGAACACCAGAGGTCTTTGAGCCAAAAGCATGTGGGCTAAGTTGGGAGGAATAATAATAGCCCGTGACTTCTGCATATGAACAGTGTTCATGAGGCTTGTTCATGAGATCCAGACATCTGCATGAAGAAGACTGAGCTCGAGACATCATCAGTCTCTCAGGTCACCAGATATCAGTTCACCCCAAAGTTCATTATCCTGGCAGTGAGAAGTCTCAGCCCAGCAGCAGAACAGGACTGATGAGACTTCCAAGTTCCTGACAATTCTAAGCGGGTAGATTATGAGCAGGCCACAGTAGAAGAAAGACAGTCTCACATGGGAAAATGGAGAGCACACGGAATGTTGCCACGCAACGGTTACGGTGTCTGATTGGCAGGTCCCTGCAGCACTAGATGCCTGAGGGCTACCCTGGAGGACACCAGTAAAAAATGGGGCAGGGCTTTGGGGGAAAGAGGGCATCATAATGGAACTTTCCAAAATAACAGTGAATACAACTGAATTCTCCTCTGGTACAAGTCTTTCAAACAGGAAGTGATAAAACACTTAGGCATAATTGAGAGTTTTTTGGATCTATATTCTCAAACTTTTTTGACCTCATCAACTCTGTTCAGATAAAGGAACCCACTGTCTACCTAGATCAACTTCCCACTGGGAAAAGAACTTGGGGATTACAAAGAATTAGGAGAGGGGCAAAATTATAATTAACATGGTCTTACTGCAGTAACCGGGAGAGAAAAAACCCAAAATGATCAACATAAGCATAACCTATCAATAATTCTGCAAATATATTATTTATAAATCTTACATATTCATTGAAACCCTTGGCCCATTGAAGCCAACATTGATGATGTACGGTTAAATGTGTCTCATCTAAAATCTGTGGCAAAAAAATACAATGGAATGTTCTTCCATTTTCATTTTTCAATGCTGCCACCACTCCAGCCTCTGCTCTTCTGCAGCCCTGCAGCCATGCAGCCCAGAGCACTGAGTGCACCTCCCTATAGAGTCAATAACAACGTATTGTCCACACGTGTGCAGTGGGCGGGCCGACCAGGGCCAGGTGAAAATCCTGGCCATAGGGACTTTCATTTTCTCTACAATTAAGTTGAAACTTTAAGAAAGACTCAATAAAGATAAATCACTGAAAAACTGTTCTTCAGAGGGAAAAAATTAGTAAATATCTAGTGTTTTGCACTCAGTTTCATAAAAGTCTTTAAATGTTCATTCCACTAAAAACAAATCAAATCTAGAGATCATGTAAAAATGGATGTGGTTTAGGCAAGAAATATGAGGGGAAACACCAAACAGTGATTCAATATTCAAAGAAAAGGCCTTGGATGGACATCAAACATTTGCAAATGAATATACAGTTACAAGTTTTAAGTTAAAATGTTTAAGGTATGTGTGTATTGTTTTTTATAACTTTCCATGCAACTGATTTTTTTTCTTTATTAATTGAGTAATTTCTGGCCTCCACTCTGCCATATCCACTGGGAAGAAGCCATTTGTCCCAGAGAGGGAATTCATTGTTCACTCCATCCCAAGGCCCCCCTTTTAAAGAACTTTCTCTTACCTCCTTCTTGGAAATCTGGCCCCCATACTGGCCCAGTCCCTGTGTTCACCAGACTCAGTGTGGAAACCTGATTTCCACTAAACCATCTGTTCACTTTCCTACAAATATGGATTTGGTATCTAGAGACTCTAAATCTTCATTGAATGCAAGAACTGAAAGGGATGTATGGCTTGGGCTGGTGGGGTGGCTGTCATCTCCCACATGCTGGGAGACGCAGAAAGAGTCAGCCTGGAAGAGGGAGAATGAAGCATTTTCACAGAGAGGAACAGAAACAAGAGGACATGTGAACATGGACAGTAAATCTGTTTCATAACTTTCTAGTTCTGGTCGAAGAAGCCTAGTTTTACTTCCAACCCTTAGGGACCATCAGCTACCCCTGCATCCTTCCACTAACTTGCCTTTTTTATTCCCCTAAACTCATTTCAGTAGGCTTCTGTTAGCTGCCTGACACTATTCTAGGAACAAAAAGTACATACTGCCTGGCATCTTCATGAGCATATTGTGAACAAATTGGCACTTCTATGATAATAACTCTGTTGTTTAAAATCTGAACTTTCGGCAATTGCCGATAGGGATAGTTTACTGATTAGTAACAAGGGCCCTGACACGGAGAGACAGGACATCCCAGTGCGGAGCAGGAACAGCCCAAGTATCCATAAAAAAGCCCATAAAAAAGAGGGAGAGAGAGAAGCAGAATTTGGACAACATATTAGAGAAAAGAGATTTAGGACAGAGACCACTCTCTCAGCCATTCTTTGCCAATGGCATATTTAAAGCAATTCTTTTTTGATAAAGTAATTGGAAGTTAATATCAGGAACATTGTATAGCATCTGTTTATTATATATACTATGGTTAAATTAGTTCTTGTTCCACAGTGTGGATTCAGTTGCTTCTCACAAATCTTGTTGGTATTTTAATCTAGAGTTAAAGAATCTTCTCCACTCCTCACCTCCTCCCCCAGAGCCCTGTACAGGAACATAGACAGTCATGGACCTCACCTGCCTAATATGGTCAACACTTGG